GTGGATGTATAGTAAAATAAGATGGCTTGGAATGTTCTGTGTGATACACACATACATACACACACACACACACACAAATCAACAAATTTTTAAAAATGTATTATGTTTGAGGAGGAAGCATGGAAATTTATGTCATGCTAATTAGTAGAGGTGATAAACATTACCATTGAAATCTACAGGATGACTTTATAGACACATTCATTGAAATTCTAATCAGTTGATCAGCCTTGTGGGATAGTCTAGTTTGAAGATCGAAGGTTTTTTTCTGGGGACTTTTATTCATAGACTTAAGAGGTAAACAAAGGATCACAAGCCTAGGAATGTAGAAAGCTGGAAGATTCTTGAAGGTCCCTCCCCAGCTCTACCTGAGTGAAGAGCATTAGGGAGGTGCCCCTCACTAGCCAAGCAGCAGGGGGAGTGTTTTTTGAACTGTAAGCTATGCTAGAGAGTGCCAAGCTTGCAGCTTTTGTGAGTCACCAGCCATGCTAGGTGGGCTTTTTGCTGATGTAGCTCCTTTTGAGTCATTCCTGCTCTTGTCAGTAACTATTATTCATGTCCTGTTAGTAACCCTAATAAAAACTTATTGGCTCACCAAGTTGGACTTTGGTACAATTATTTTGGTCTGTCATGGGTTCCCTTTCTAATGTGAATAGAGGAATGTGTGCTGTGTCTTCCCAAGTCCCTCACACAACACATGACCATCACTCCAGGGATGGAAGTTGGTTCAGTGTATGCAATAAGTGAATGCAATTCACTACATAAATAGACTTAAAGACAGAAATCACCTGTTCATCTCAATGGTTGTAGCAAGGCCATTGACAAACGTCAAAAACTCCTTATGATAAAAGCCCTGAAGAAACTAGAAATATAAAGAATGTTCCTCAATACAGTAAAGTTTATTTATGACAGACCTATGACTGACATTATACTAAATGAGGGAAATGGAGAGCATTTCCTCCCAAAATTTGAGAAGACAAGTGTGTTCACTCTCTGCGCTCTAATGGAATATAGTGCTCAAAGTCTTAGAGCAATAAGACAAGAGAAGGAAATAAAAGGAGTGCAAATAGGAAAGGAAGAAGTCAAACTATCCCTATTTGTAGAACCTATGCATAAAACCCTTAAGAGTCCACCAGAAAACTTTCAGGCCTGATCAGCAATTTCACAAAAGAAACAAAATAAAAATGTCAATGTACAACAATAAGTAACTGTTTTGTATTCCAATAACTAACTTACCAGGAATGAAATCATGAGAAAAAAAAATAACATTCACAGTAGCTTCAAAAATACATAAATAGGATCTGGGGAGATAGATCAGTGGATAAAGTGTTTGATGCACAAGTGTGAAGACTACAGTTTGGGTCCCCAGAATCCAGATGCATGTCAGCAATCTATAATCCCAACAGAGACAGGGACTCCCTAGGGAAAGCTAGTTAGCTAGACTACCAGCCAGAATTGGCAAGCTCTGAGTTTACCAAGAGACTCTACCTGAATAAACAGGGTAGAAGCAATCAAAGATGCATACACGTGTGCGCGCACACACACACATACACATACCATATACACACTTACATGTGCACCCAGACACATGCAAAATATATCACACATACATATATACACACACAAGATAAATAAATAGTAAATAAAATTCTTAGGAGTAAACCAAGCCACGTAGGTTAGGTCTACAATAAACTTCAAGACACTGAAGAGAAGAAATCAAAGACTAGAAGATAGAAATCACCTCCTATGGTCCTGAATAGGCAGAATTAATATTGTAAATGGCTATATAACCAAAAGTCATCTACAGATTCAATGCAATTCTTATAAAATCTCAATGACATTCTTCACAAAATTAGATAAAAGTATCAAAATTCATGTGGAAGAACACATGGCTCCTAATGCCTAAAGTAATTCTTTACAGAAAGAACAACAACACTCAATTTTATATTACCAAGCCATAGTAATAAAAAGAATATGGCACTGCCACAAAAAAGACATGTAGATCAACGGAATTGAATTAGAGGACCCAGAAACAAACTTACAAAGTTACAGGCATCTAATTTTTTCACAAAGCTGTCAAAAACAGACATTGCTGGGAAATCACAATTTCTACAAGTAGAAGAATAAACTAGATTCTTCTCTCTCACCCTTCACAAAAATTAATTTAATATGAATCAAAGACCTTAATGTGAGACCTGAAACTTTGAAGCTGTTATAGGAAAACATAGGTAAAACACTTCAAAATACAGGCAAAGGCAAAGATTATCTGAACAGAAATCCTATAGCATAGGAAACAATCCCAAGAATTGACAGCTGGGATTTCATGAAGCTAAGAACTTTTGCATAGCAAAAGAAAAACTCACCAGAGTGAGAAGACTGCCTGAAGAATGGGAAAAAATAGCTGCCAGCTACAGACCAGAGAGGGGATTAATGTCCAAAATACATATAAAGAATTCCAAAAATTAAACACCCCCAAATCATCCAATCAATAAGTGCGCTAATAAACTGAATAGACAGTTTTCAAAAGAAGAAATGCAAGTAGCCAATAAGCATGTGTAAAGGTGTTCAACATCCTTAGCCATCAGATAAATGCAAATCAAAACTGTTTGGAGGGGCTGGAGAGATGGCTCAGCGGTTAAGAGCACTGGCTGCTCTTGCAGAGAACCTAGGTTGAATTACCAGCATCCCCATGGTGGCTTATAACTCCAATTCTGGGAGATCTGATGCCCTCTTCTGGCCTCTGCAACCTCTGTAGGCATTGCACACATGGGTGCAATTATATACATGCAGGCAAAATACTCATACACATAAAACAAAATACATACTAACAATTACATTCTCCAAATAAAACCATTAGCAACATAAAAAAATACTGTTTTGATACTCCGTCTCACCAGAGACTCAGTCAGAGTGACTGTCATCAAGAAAACAAATGACAACAAATTATAGTGAGGCTGTAGGGAAAGACAACAGTGACTACACTGGTGCCAGTGGGAGTATAAATTCGAATGCGAACTCATGCAGCAAGTGTGGAAATTAACATGCGAGCTCCTTAAAAACTGAAAATATAACTATCATACGACCTTCTATACCACTCGGGTATAGGCTCTAAAGTCAGCATATCATGGTGAAACTTGTACATCCATGTTTCTAGCTGCACTTTTCACAATAGCCAAGAAATGAACCCAGTCCAGATGCCCATCAACAGATGAATGGGCAAAGAAGATGTGGCACACATACACAAAGAAACTTTATGTCACTCTAAAGAAAAATGATGCTATCACATTTGCAGGAAAATGGAAACTATATTATTAGATGTCAGACTCGAAAGCACAAATACCATGTTTACTCTCACACATTAAGCCTAGATTTAATTGTGTGTATGGAAATGTGTGTATGAATGTATTTATATATGTCTAGGTCTCAAAAGCAGGAAGGGGATTATGAGTGAAGAAGAAGAGGACTTAAGGACGCTGAGTAATGAAGACAGAAATGACGTGCATATATATATATATATGTATATATATATATATAATAGGAAAGCAGAGGGGAGATTGAAGGGAGGAGAGGAATCAGCTAGAAGAGGCACAGAGGAGGACTGTGAGGGAGGATGATGAACGAGGGCAAAACATGACATATATATGTAGACATCGAGATACAACCCATTATCTTGTATGCAAAAATTAATAATGAAAGAATTTTGAAAAGATTAACAGAGGCCAATCACAATCCAAGACTGCACTTTGCCACTCATCTTCCTTGCTCTGTTCAGTGCTGTTCCCCTCATAGCTGCCACACTGGCCCTGTTGATCTTGAGAGGCACTCCAGAAAGGAGAAAGAAGGAAAGAGCCGGCACTCAGGCTTGCCATTTGAAGAAGAAGAAATTCACTTGCTTGGAACTGACAAGCTTCAAATAATAGCAGTGATGATGCTGATAAATGAGTCTTCTCAACTTAGACACTAGAAGCCAGTGTGAGGCAGGTGTTGAAGGAGGCTTCACAGATTGCCTACCCAGGTTCCCAGTTCCTTTCAAGTCTAAGCCATCAGGCTGCTCACAGATAACACAGACTACATACATTTTCCTGATGCATTATTTTGCTCCCCACTTACTAGAGTTCTACCTCAAGTATTCTGTTCCCCTCTCTCCCACACACACACAATGTCAGGGAACCAATCTATGTAAAGCTTCAAGGTTTTACTCAGCCAAGTACCCAACAGAAAATAACCTGCCAGGGCTGAAGAGATGGCTCAGCAGTTTAAAACACTTGCTGCTCTTCCAGAGGACTGTTGTTCAGTTCCCAGCAAGCATGTCCCTGACAGCTCCAGGGGACCTGTCACCCTCTTCTGGCCTCTGCAGACACGTGCACAGTCAGACACACACCCATACTTATTATTATTATTAATAATAATAATAATAACAAACATTAAAGAACAGTCCTTCAAGCCACTATAATTCTGTCAAGTCCCTTCAAGTTACCTTCCCTAACTTTACAGCACAATAGAGAGCTGGAAAGCTAGGCACAGGTGGGAGGCTCCTGCTGTCTTGAGAGGTCAAACCTTCAAGGCGAGTTCCACCAGAAAGTGGCCTGGTTTCCTGCAACCACCCCACTCCCACCCTTTCTCTGCCTTCTTCACTCTGATAGCCCCTCCCCACTGCTTCTCCCACTTCTTAACTCATATTTAGATGTTGACTACAACGTTGTCCTTTGAGGAAAGCGAATTTATCTCCAGCAGGTTTGGAAAAGCCTCAGAGGAGCCTCCAGACCCATCCACTCTCCCTTATTCCCTCTCCCTCCCCACCCAGGGTAGCCACTGAAGAGCTAAGTTCAGCCTCTTGTTGCACCCACTGACCCCATCTAGGGGAGGCAGCAAGAAGCCCGAAGTGGGGCAATTGTCTATACCTCTAATCCAGGAGGCCAAGTTTGGAGTGTGAACGGCGGTGCCCTCTACTGTTTGCAACCGGGAGCCTTGAGAGCTCCATTAGCTCCATAAATCCCCCTTCACAGCCTTAAGCGAGTCAGAGCACCCAGGAGCTCAGACCCCAGTTCCCCACTGCCGCCCTCCGTGGCACCTCCACTCACCTTTTCTCCCCACCCACCCTTGCCAGGGTCAGTGGCGGTGTAGGTGACTGAACCTGGCGGCTGGTTGCAAAGACGCTGTTTTCCTCCACCTCCCTCTCCCTCTTTCCCTCACCCCCCACCTCTTCTTCCTCCTCCTCCCTAGGGCTCTGGCCTCCTTTTGCAGATCGTACGCCCAGATCTGGGGAGCTCAGCGCCTGCCTCCCGCCGTGGCTGGACTGCCCAGGGCCCTGCCCCTCAAGGACGTTGGAGGGGCGGACTTGTGCCCCAGACTCCGCATATTTATAGCCTGAGATTGGGAGAAGCTGGATCAGGGTGACATCTGGAGCGGTGTGACTCCCCAGTTCTCTCAGTGCAGAGCTGCTGCACGCACGGTCTACGAGGTGAGGGGCGCACGCGTAGGGGCTTTCCCCTCACCCTAACCCAGGACAGGGGTCAAGCTCTGACGTCGGGTGTGCGAAGGTGGCTGGAATCGGGAAATGGCTTGTAAGGGCGGGGGGCGATTGCTTAGTATAAATGCATCTCTCTTCCAGATGATCCCCCAAAATGTGTGGACCTGAGCAGGAACGCTGAATAACGGTGGTTTAAGAATTTCACCTTGTTTTCTTGCAGCTTAAATAGTAACTGGATCTCAAGACAAGCTAAGAGGAAAGAACAGCTTGAGGGCAGTACACGTGGAGACAGTGTGCCCTCAGGACCCGGGGAGGGGCAGGTTATTTCAAAACCCACTCCGGTTGAAAAACTTTCGATTAAGGTCTAGGTGGTTGCTCCAGCCGTCAGAAATTGATGCAGGCTTGATAAAATACTCAGGTGTGCTGTTTCAAAGAATAAAGCTTGGGAGTGTCAGCTGTGTTGGGAACTTTGGTCTTAAAAGATATTTCCGTCAGTATCGTAAGTTGAGATGCTGACATAAAAAAACGGACGGGAATTGATGGAGTGGAGTGGTTCCTGTACCCCGCACCGGGTGATACATGGCTTTGCATTGCTGTACGTACTGGATCTGTTTCAGCCTGCATACAGTTTCTGAGAAAACAGCAGCTGCCTGTGCTTGGGTTAGAGGATAAGGCAGGAGGGGTCAGCATTCCAGGTGCTTCTACCTTAACCTTCCTGCTGCCCTTCCTGCCACCCTGCACCAATTCGCTCCGGAGGGAGTCATTCTGAGAGTGAACAGCAGATGATCTATTGGGTTGGGGGAAGGGTTTTATTTTCCTTAAATAATTCGGGCTTTTTTTAAAAAAAAAACCATTTGTATGTCTTCCTGTAAAATGGCATCATTTCAAAATACATATTTTTATATAGTTCCACATACTGACGTGCATTGCCCTACACAGGCAAGGTGGATGAGCAAGTCAGGGGCTTCTCTGACTTGTGAGAGATGAGGTCCTGGGTCCGGCTCACTGAGCAGCCTTTTCTTCAGGAGGATATTTGAAATACTTTTGGATAAGTATTTGAAATACAAAGAGGAACCAACCTTTTTCTTTTTCTGGCTTTTTAAGACAGGGTCTTGCTGTTGTCCTAGCTGACCTGGAACTCACTATGTAGACCAGGCTAGCCTGGATCTCATACAGATTGGCCTTCTCCCTCCAGGAGTGCTAGGATTAAAGGCCTGTGCCCTGCCCTTTTTCATCCTTTCTTGGCATTAGTTCTCCTGCTGAATTAAATGAAATCAATCTGTCTTAAATAAATGAACAGAAGTGTTTGATGTCCATTTAGCAAATGTACAAAATATATGTACCTATATTTTATCTCCTTTCAAAACTTTAACCTCCAGCCCATAGCTGAGACTGCAAAACAGAACTCCACAGTGGACTCAGCTGGATTCCTGAAGTGTGTTTAAACAAATCATGATGCTTATTTCTAAAACTGCATACCACCTTGCAACTAACCACTCTGGCACACAGAGGTGAGAGAAGTACTTCTGCTCATTGAGAGAGCTGCAAAGAGAAATTAATTCAAATCTTGATTCATATTGTTGACAGAACTTTATTACATCATCACCACTTGCCATGGGCTATTGGAGCCCCAAGGATTGCTACAGATCTCTGTATAAATTGATACTTGTCCTGATGAGCTGGAAAATTGCTACAGATCTCTGTATAAATTGAGACTTGTCCTGATGAGCGTTTAAAAATGTAACCAGGGGCTGCAGAGATGGCTCAGTAGTTAACAGCACGGGCTACTCTTACAGAGGACCTGTGTTCAGTTCCCAGCACTCACATTACAGCCAATAACCATCCTTAACTCCAGTTCCGGGGATCTGAGGCCCTCTTCTGGCCTTGGCATCATGCAGGTTAAACACTCATACACATAAAAAAATTTTTTTAAAATAAAAAATGGAACCATGCTTCTGGTCCTGAGTATATGCATGCTGAATATTCCTTTACATGTTCTCTTTCCATGAGGATTTCCAGAGATGTCCACTTCACAGCTCATTTTTATAATAGAAATTATTTGAATAACATACCAAGTGATAAATTTAAAATTATTTGGAATTTTATTGTGTAGTAAACTCAAATTTCCATTTTTTCCTCTGTGTCTGTCCATGGTGTTTTCACTTAGGATGTATCAGATGCCTCTGATCTCATCCATGACATTCCATTCCCTTGGCAAAAGTTTAGAAATGAGACATAGCATCCCTTCTGTCATCTTGAAGTACATGTGTTAACCATTTTGCTACTTACTCAAAACATTTGCTCCCCATGTCTTCACATGCCTGGTCAACAGCAATCATGTAAGTAAGTTTCTATTCTTGAGAGGAAAACAACCAAGTCAGAGATTCTCAGAGGCAATATAGAGGATAAGACACAGTCCAGGTGACTTGTAAATCCCTTCCAGCTGTACAATGAAATTATTGTAAAGGACAGGATGTGTTGCTGACAGTGCCTTGCCTCCACTTCCAAGATATCAAGGCTTCAAATGGCGAGTGTATACTTTTTCGAAAGCCTCAGACCCTGAGCTTTTGGTTTCTGTCATTGTCACTCAAACATTCAGCACACCCCCCTTCCCAAAATACAAGTTTACAAACAGCTCTTTTTCATGCTTTTCATTGCCACTTTTGGAATTTTTTTGGTATTTTAAAAATTTGAGAATTTCATGAAGTCTTCAGGTAAAATCCACCTCACTCCTCTCCAATTCTTTTCATACATCACCACTTTCCCTCCCAACTTCCTGTACTCTTTTTTTTCAACCTACTGAGTATACTCAGTGCCACCAGCTATGTCTGTACCATGCATTAAAAGTAAAATGTCTAAATCTAATGTTTTAATGTAAGAAGGCTTCTATTTCTACAGGTTCATATATTTCATTAAAGAAAATTTTAAAAAAATCTCAAAACTGCTTAAGAGCAGAATTTGAACCAAATAGAAAAGAACTGATTGTTCATACCATATGTTGGCCGAGCCATCTCCGAGCCACGACCAGACGGGCCTTCCAGCTTTGTCCTCCTTTCTGTTTGTTTACTCAAATGAACTTATGTGAGCATTAGCTTCAGGGAAACTCTTACATTAAGTATGCTGTGTGGGTGAAGAGGGGCCAGATGAGGGAAAAAGGACCAGGAAAGGAGGACTCACTTACTTTGGAATGGGGAAACTGCCCTCCAGAGTGAGTTCTCTCATATTTTTTTCCTTTCTGATCAGATTTTCAGTATTGTGACCCTTAAAATTTGAGGTTCAGGTTGGTCAGCTTACCCAATGTCTTTCTCGCTGATGAAAGATTTTCACCAATATCCCATCTACCTGCCATACTTTGGTATTTGTTCCTATATTTTGTAGATTAAGAAACCGAGAATCAGAATTTATGGAGATTATCCGACCAATTAAGAACTCTATTGTTAATACAGTATGATTATGCATATATCCCCTTGTATGTTCTACAACTTCAGATGATACCAATCCCTATACATATTATGTTGTTTCCTACAGACCCTGCCACATTGCTGCACTGTGCCACAGTTAAGCTAGCCTCACATGCTTTATGCCCTGGTGTCTCCTTTACATGTAGTATGCTGCCCAAATAAAGTAAAACCAGACCCCAGGAATGTTTCTCCCTAGATCAAACTCTCCCTTATCTCTCTATCAGATAACATACATATGGTTCTATTTCCAAAGGATTCAGGGAGGATCTGAATGAGTTTGTTAGGACAGCTTACCTATGAAAATCTCATTTGTGTCAAGATTAGCGTTCTTGAGAACTAATGACAAAACAGAATGTCTCTTTGGCATAATCACCACCAAAGTGATAGTGAAACTGATAAGAAGTATCTCCAAAAAGTGACATCAGCTATACAGTCCTAATAATGTTCAACATCGTAAGTTGATTCATCTACTCTTGTGGGGAGAAAGAAAGTTAACATATGCTGAGTGTCTGTCACATTTCAGGAACTGTGCCAAAAGCTGAACATAAATTCTTTAATGGTCACAAAAGCTCCGCGAAGCAAGTATTATCAGGCCTGTCAGTCATTCATTCATTTTAAAACTACAGGCTGGATAGTAAATGTGAAAGAGATGACACTTGTGACTATTGGTGTGAACCTACATAATATATACCAAAGCAGCCCATTTGTGTGAGGAATTTAATGTATCTAAACACTAAGCCACGCAGAATGCTTTTATCTAGACAATGGGATATGTTGTGTGGATGCAAACTGGATCATCAAGACCATCACTGCATTTCTGTAATAAAAACAAACTGCATATGGGTGGGTACACCACCCTATTGCTGCATCCAGCATTATCATAATTTAAAATTCCCAGTACTGGTGAAAGCTTATTAAAATTAGACTATGCACAACTGGATGAACATGTAGTATAACTGTACAATGCGATTTTATATTTGCCACTAATTGAAGTTATAAGCCATAAAAATACTCAGCTCTCACATAACTAACACACACATATGGATTAGGTTTCACTTGGAATTTCCTCTGGCCGGCTGTTGGAATGTTTGCCAAGTGCTTTCTAAAGTTCTGCGATAGCCTTGGTTTTTCTAATATTTGCCTAGTGCTTATTAACCTCAATGAGAGTTTTATCTCCTTCTGAGGCATAATTTTACTTTGTGACCCACTGTGGCTAATATAATTCAGCATAAAAAGTAAGACTGGGGCTAACAAGATGACTCAGCTGGTAATGCACTTGCTGCCAAGTCTGACAACCTGAGTTCAACCCTCGGGACACACATGGTGGGAATAGAGAACTAACTACTGAAGCTTGTTTTCTGATCTGCACGGGTACCTCATGGTATGCCTGCCCATGTGCATACACACAAATAGATAAATATAAAGCAGCTTTAAAAAAATTAAACTAGGGGGAGGTGGGCAGGAAGTCCCAAATCTAGCCGAGTCTCTATTGGCAATTGACAGCTGCTAGGAAAGGGAGAGTCGGTTTTC